CAAAAAAAAAACTGCTCCGGTTTCTCTCCACCCGCCGGGAGCCGGGGGGAGGGGCGCTCGGGTCCCGCCGGGCTGGGGCTTGTATCTTACCCCCTTCACAAGGCGCTGGGTTCTTGCAGGTGTGGATGTGGTCTGGATGTTGTCCTGTGTCCTGTGGTCTCTATTTTAGGAAGATTTTTCTTTGTTATATTTTCATAGCTCTATGTGTTTTTGGGAGGAGATTTCCACTGCTCTACTCACGCCGCCATCTTGGCTCCCGCCCAAGTGTTTCTCATTTTTATTTGAATATATTGTCAACACATTATTAGCATATTGTAAGGATAAAACTGAAATAAAAGATTTAAGAAACTTAAGCTGATTGAAGTACTACTACTCTGGCTTCTGTATTCTCCTGTGTTTACTATATTATGGCAAAGGAGTAGATATATTTTTTCCCTAAGTATACACTATTTCTGTCATTTTTACTTTGCATGTTCATGGAGGCCTGTTCGAAGTAAACACTTTTAAAAATGTTCATGGCTCAAGAGACTTCATATGTGCAACAGGAATATTTTTAAAATCTCAGAATCCTACATTTAACAAATGGTTAACATTTTTATCTTCTATTTCATTCTTGAGATAAGCAGTTTTACTGAGAGTTAAGATTGATTGAAGTAATGGAAGAAAATAATTTCTGCCTTTTTCTTCTTTAACGCATGTTGGCATATATCATGATATGTGGAGGAGGAGGTGCCCTACGATCAGTTAGCTTGTTAAAGAGCTTACCTGTTTAATATTTACTTATTTTCCCCTCTTTGGCTTCTCCATTACATCTCCATACCCACACCAATCTTACTCTAAAGCATTATTATCTTATAACCTCTAGGTGCTAATATTTTGTCAGCTACTAGTTTTCATTCATGTTTCCCAACATCAGCATCAGTCATCGCTATGAAAGCGCACAAGGTTATTGAAAATCACGTGATAAACGGTGAGCTTAGAATCTGTGATAGTCTAACTTAAGATACTGTTTCACAGACATATTTTCTGACTACAAAACTTCAGACCATGCTCCTTATAGTTGCATAAAAAATAGAATTTCTCTTTCAAATAAAGGTTTAGCTTGGTTGCTTGGCAGGTTACAATGTGACAGAAAGGAACACTAACATTTTATTATTTCTTCTCATATTTATATGAAGTATTTCATTTGATTTTTGACATTAGAAAGTAATGTAAATTAGGTGTTTTTTTGTTCATTTGCTACTGATTGTTACACGGTGAATCAGGTCCAATGCTCTTTATTGTTTTAATTAACATCTTCATCTGAAATTTAAGTGACAGTTTTGTCATATAGCTCTACTCTTTAAATATAGCAGGCCCAATGGTGGTTCTGTGGAAATTACATATGAATATCTAAAGATTTGGAAAGATATAATCAATTGTAATTTAAAGTATATGCATTAATAGGGGTATGAAATCCCTGAGAAATTACATTCACCCATATTATCGAGTCCTCCCACACATGCCACCACAGTCACTGTCCATCAACATATGAAGATGCCACAGAGACACTACTTGTCTTCTCTGTGCTACACTGTCTTCCCTGTGACCCCCCACACCATGTGTGCCAACCATAATGCCCTTCAGTTCCCTTCTCCCTCCCTCCCTACACACCTGCATCCATGTCTCCCCTTTGGTAATCACTAGTCTCTTCTTGGAGTCTGTGAGTCTGCTGCTGTTTTGTTCCTTCAGTTTTGCTCCGTTGTTACACACCACAAATGAGGGAAATCATTTGGTACTTGTCTTTCTCCACCTGGCTTATTTTAATGAGAATAATATCCTCCAGCTCCATCCACATTGTTGCAAATGGTAGGATTCATTTTCTTCTTATGGCTGAATAATATTCCATTGTGTATATGTATCACATCTTCTTTATCCATTCATCTATTGATGAAGCAACTTAGGTTGCTTCCGTTTCTTGGCTGTTGTAAACAGTGCTGCAATAAACA